CCGTAAAAACTTTCCTATGGGGAAAAAGTGAAATTTTCCTGCAGGACTGGGTCTGGGTAAACAAGAGCTTTCGATTGATACACCTTTTTACCATAGCACCACTTTTTGTCCGTACAAAGGCGATTTTACGGATATTTTAGGAGTGTAGGGGGCTTTACGGGCCAAAAACGTCAATGCAACGGGGACCGTTTTGGGGAAAGTTTCTCGTCTGGTGGTGGGGCACCCGTGTGCCGATTATGAACGAAATCAGAGGGCCCCCTCATTGACCCAAAATTTTGATTTTCCCGTAAAAACTTTCCTATGGGGAAAAAAATGAAATGTTCCTGCAGGACTGGGTCTGGGTAAACGAGAGCTCTCGATTGATACCCATTTTTACCATAGCACCACTTTTTGGTCCGTACATAGGCGATTTTACGGATATTTTACGAGTCTAGGGGGCTTTACGGGCCTTAAACGTCAATGCAACGGGGACCGTTTTGGGGAAAGTTTCTCGCCTGGTGGTGGGGCACCCGTGTGCCGATTTTGAACGAAATCGGAGGGGACCCCCCATTGATCCAAAAATTCGATTTTTTCCTATGGGGAAAAAGTGAAATTTTTCTGCAGGACTGGGTCTGGGTAAACGAGAGCTTTCGATTGATACCCATTTTTACCATAGCACCACTTTTTGGTCCGTACAAAGGCGATTTTACGGATATTTTACGAGTCTATGGGGCTTTACGGGCCTTAAACGTCAATGCAACGGGGACCGTTTTAGGAAAAGCTTCTCGGCTGGTGATGCGGCACCTCTGTGCCGATTTGAACGAAATCGGGGGGACCCCCCATTGACCCAAAATTTTGATTTTCCCGTAAAAACTTTCCTATGGGGAAAAAGTGAAATTTTACTGCACAGCTGTGTCTGTGTAAACGAAAGCTTTCGATTTGTGTAGTTTTTTACCTACTTGTGACGTCATTTCTAGGGGAAAACGGGTCATAAAGGTTTCCCTCTACCGGGGCCTTTTTTCCCCTACTGAATCTGTGCTGTGCTGAAACTGTGCTGAATCTGTGCCAACTTCCGTTACATCAAATCAAAAGACCCCGCCGTTTCCCGTTAAAATGTTAATTGGTCGTTAACTCGTTAACGGTGCAAAATGCCACCCCAAAAAGGGACATTTTCGGAATCAGCGCATCGAGGAGGCCCTGGATATCAATTTTCAGCCAAATCGAAAGACCCAGCCGTTTCTCGTTTAAATGTCAATTGGTCGTTAACTCGCTAACGGTGCAAAATATCACCGCAAAGAGGTACATTTCCGGAATCAGCGCATCGATGAGGCCCTATATACCAGTTTTGAGCCAAATTGAAACACCCCGAAATATGCTGCTGTGAGGCTGACATTCGTTGCTGCTGAATTGACAGATGTAGTTCGGGGCCCTGTTCGACTTCGGTCGCTGTTTTTATATCAGCGTGCTGTCGGTTTTCCCCATATAAGGAAGTTATATGTAACGGAAGTTGGCACAGATTCAGCACAGATCCAGCACAGCACAGATTCAGTAGGGGAAAAAGGCCCCGGTAGAGGGAAACCTTTATGACCGATTTCCCCCTGGAAATGACGTCACAGGGAGGTAAAAAACTACACAAATCGAAAGCTTTCGTTTACACAGACACAGCTGTGCAGTAAAATTTCACTTTTTCCCATAGGAAAGTTTTTACGGGAAAATCAAAATTTTGGGTCAATGGGGGGTCCCCCCGATTTTGTTCAAAACCGGCACAGAAGTGCCGCATCACCAGCCGATAAACTTTTCCCAAAACGGTCCCCGTTGCATTGACGTTTAAGGCCCGTAAAGCCCCGTAAACTCGTAAAAAATCCGTAAATTCGCCCTTGTACGGCCAAAAAACGGGGCGCTTGGGTAAAAATGGGTATCAAACGAAAGCTCTCGTTCACCCAAACACAGCTGTGCAGTAAAATTTCACTTATTCCCCATAGGAAGGTTTTTTACGGGAAAATCAAAATTTTGGGTCAATCATTGACCCAAGATTTTGATTTTCCCGTAAAAACTTTCCTACGGGAAAAAGTGAAAATTCCTGCACAGCTGTGTCTGGGTAAACGAGAGCTTTCGGTTGATACCCATTTGTACCCTAGCGCGAACTTTTCCCAAAACGGTCCCGTTGCATTGACGTTTAAGGCCCGTAAAGCCCCGTAAATTCGTAAAAAATCCGTTAATTCGCCCTTGTACGGCCAAAAACGGGGCGCTAGGGTAAAATTGGGTATCAAACGGCTGTACAAAAACGGCTGTTTTTGGCTGTACAAAGGCGATTTTACGGATTTTTTACGAGTTTACGGGGCTTAACGGGCCTTAAACGTCAATGCAACAGGGACTGTTTTGGGGAAAGTTTCTGGGCTGGTGGTGGGGCACCTGTGTGCCGATTTTGAACGAAATCGGGGGGGGGGACCCCCAATTGACTCAAAATTTTGATTTTCCCGTACAACTTTCCTACGGGGAAAAAGGGAAAATTTACTGAACAGCTGTGTCTGGGTAAACGAGAGCTTTCGTTTGATAACCATTTTTACCCTAGCGCCTCGTTTTTGGCTGTACAAGGGCGATTTTTACGGATTTTTTTTTTTAACGAGTTTACGGGGCTTTACGGGCCTTAAACGTCAATGCAACGGGACCGTTTTGGGGAAAGTTTCTGGGCTGGTGGTGGGGCGCCTGTGTGCTGATTTTGAACGAAATCGGGGGGACCCCCCCCCCCATTGACCCAAAATTTTGATTTTCCCGTAAAAACTTTCCTACGGGGAAAAAGTGAAATTTTACTGCACAGCTGTGTCTGGGTAAACGAGAGCTTTCGTTTGATACCCATTTTTACCCTAGCGCGCCGTTTTTGGCCGTACAAGGGCGAATTTACGGATTTTTTTTTACGAGTTTACGGGGCTTTACGGGCCTTAAAGGTCAATGCAACGGGGACCGTTTTAGGGAAAGTTTCTCGGCTGGTGGTGGGGCACTTGTGTGCCGATTTTGAATGAAATCGTGGGGGGACAACCCATTGACCCAAAATCTTGATTTTCCCGTAAAAACTTTCCTACGGGGAAAAAGTGAAATTTTACTGCACAGCTGTGTCTGGGTAAACGAGAGCTTTCGTTTGATACCCATTTTTACCCTAGCGCCCCGTTTTTGGCCGTACAAGGGCGAATTTACGGATTTTTTACGAGTTTACGGGGCTTTACGGGCCTTAAACGTCAATGCAACGGGACCGTTTTGGGAAAAGTTTCTCGGCTGGTGGGGGGGGGGGCACCTGTGTGCCGATTTTGAACGAAATCGGGGGGACTCCCCATTGACCCAAAATTTTGATTTTCCCGTAAAAACTTTCCTACGGGGAAAAAGTGAAATTTCACTGCACAGCTGTGTCTGGGTAAAAGAGAGCTTGCTTTCGTTTGATACCCATTCTCACCCTAGCGGCCCGTTTGTGGCCGTACAAGAGCGAATTTACGGATTTTTTTTCGAGTTTACGGGGCTTTACGGACCTTAAACGTCAATGCAACGGGGACCGTTTTGGGGAAAGTTTCTCGGCTGGTGGTGGGGCACCCGTGTGCCGATTTTGAACGAAATCGGGAGGGACCCCCCATTGACCCAAAATTTTGATTTTCCCGTAAAAACTTTCCTACGGGGAAAAAGTGAAATTTCACTGCACAGCTGTGTCTGGGTAAAAGAGAGCTTGCTTTCGTTTGATACCCATTCTCACCCTAGCGGCCCGTTTGTGGCCGTACAAGGGCGAATTTACGGATTTTTTTTCGAGTTTACGGGGCTTTACGGACCTTAAACGTCAATGCAACGGGGACCGTTTTGGGGAAAGTTTCTCGGCTGGTGGTGGGGCACCCGTGTGCCGATTTTGAACGAAATCGGGAGGGACCCCCCACTGACCCAAAATTTTGATTTTCCCGTAAAAACTTTCCTATGGGGAAAAAGTGAAATTTTACTGCACAGCTGTGTCTGGGTAAACGGAAGCTTTCGATTGGTGTAGTCTTTTACTTCCTTGTGACGTCATTTCTAGGGGAAAACGGGTCATAAAGGTTTCCCTCTACCGGGGCCTTTTTTCCCCCTACCGAATCTGTGCTGTGCTGAACCTGTGCTAAATCTGTTATTGCTGCCGCTTCTTGGCCTCTCATTGGTCTAGCGAATAGACCACTTGAATTCAACCAATGAGAAGCCAAGAAGTAGCGGCATGCTCGCAGCCTGCTGATAAATAAACAGGGTGCGAACAGAGCTCCCGGCTGAATTATCGGGGTTACATGAGCACAGTAAATACGTATTTAGCCGCTAATTCGAATTAGGAACGCATTACCGACTCATGTAGCCACCTGCTAGTACGAATCGGCGATCCGATCCGCGGTTACATGAGCAAAGCAAATACGTATCACGATCGGATTCACCGCTAATGCGAATCAGGAGCGTACTACCGACTCATGTATCCACCTGCTAATACGAATCGGTGGTCCGAACAAAATCCGCTGGGAAAGAGGCTTAGAAGCGAATAGGACCAAGATACGTATTACAGGAACTATTTCTTCGCAAAAAGAAACATTAAAATGCAAAATAATAGGTATTTTTTTCATTTTCTTCTCTTGAAATAATATTTAAAAAATATGTCGGTATTTTGTCAAGTTTTCAACAATAAATATAATGAAAACCAAATAGTAAATATCCACATAATTTCAGTTGAAACATTTTTCTGACAGCACTACAGACGAATCAAGAGAGGCAATTGCCCAATGAGTCAAAGCAAGACAACTTTATTTTCAACTTTTTTTTTGTTAAGTTAATTGAGAATGTTTTGAGCAGATTAAATGCAAAAAAGACATAAGATAATAAATTTTTAATTTAGTCACCTCTATTGCTACGGAAGTGCGCCACATTTGTATGCTATTCCGTTTGTAATGCGCATCGGGCCGAGAGCCAAACTAGATCCGTTTGACGTCACTGATACGAATTTGCTCATGTAGTCGGTGCACTGAATGCGTTCTTGGGGAGCTGATGCGATTTAGCGTAGTGCGTATTTGGAACGGATCGCTCATGTCAACTGTCGGCCAAATGTCACGTGACATTTGACCTTGACTCGGCACCAAAATTTGATGACAAATACTGCGTGGTTGATACATTTGATGGCGTCAACAAACTGCTTGCTCCAAATCTTATACAATTTTAAGCTTGTATCAGATTTGCAATCTTTTCTCTTGTATTTTGCTGTGACCTGCCTAGTATTTTATTGCAGATTGCAGAGCTCTTACTCTGATTCAGTTTTGTGTTAGCAAGCAGCATGCCAGGGTGTTTTGCATCTGGGTGCAGCCACCACAACAGCGCTGCAAGATGTAGGTACATTTAGAAGGTTTCCAAGAGAGGAGAAGATGAGGGTCGCTTGGGTGAGGGCTGTCAGGTAAGATCCAGATGTGTCCTTGTTAGCTGTATTGATAAATGCAATACATTATGTAGTAATGATAAATGTAATAAATGTTATGTAATGACAAGCACAAACCAGGAGCTTTTACAGCCCAATGATCACCATAGGCAAAGATTCCATTTCTCGTCCTGAAAAGTGCCTTCTTGAGGAATATGTGCTTTGCTGAGGAATGCAGCCATGTCATCGTCAGCTAATCAGCATGCTGCTAACAGCCAATGGGTTTGAATTTTACAACATGATTAATCAATGCAAGCTTCCGCGTCAAACAATATTTTCTATAGAATATTGGGTAGTTGTAAAGCAGGCGTCACACTACTTTTTGCAATGAAGGAGAGGTGCTATACCCAGAGATGCTTTCTGATTGAACCAAGCCAAAACAAACCTAACTAAACCTGACCTAGCCATACCTACAACCTAAACTCTACAACCTAGGTACCTACAACTTAGAACCTACAACCTAACCTACAGCACCTCTCCTTGGTTGCAAAAAGAAGTGTGACGCCTGCTTTACTACTACCAAATATAGTTATTCTTTTATTAAAATACAGAAAATATTGTTTATATATAGGTTTTATTTTTGTGCTGATCATAATGAGCATAACAAATCAAATCCATTGCATAAAACTAATTACAGGAAAGAGAACATGAAATCCATTAAAAGCTTATCATGTTTATCACAAGTTACCTAATGAAGGTAATGCTTTGACCTGGTAATCCCTTGAGTGTAATGCCGCAGGCAGCTCTAAGGGATGTGTTGGGATGGGTAAGGAAAATATTTTTGGTTGAAGAGGTGTGTTATAGGCTACAGGCCAAATGCATACCTCTTTAACAAAAAAAAAGAAAAGATGTAGGTACTCTTACCCAGCATATATTCCAGTTACTATGTACAAAAAAGACGTGCTACGAATGTTGCTAGCGAACCACTGTAGGTTGGGTTAGTTAGGGTTTGACCATGTTCTGAAGCATTGTAAATAATCATAATTGTTCACTCTTAGCACCTCACATTGATATAAAGCCAATTAGCTACATTTTGATTGCTAGGTGAGGATGTCAACCTTCTGATTCTGGATTCTGGAGCCAAAATAACATGATACAGTGTCAGTGATACCATCTTGTTTAGAAGCTGTGGCTGTGCTGTCTGAGTCAATATCTTACCTCTTAACACAAGGCATTTTGTATGTAAAAGTCCACTTGCAAGAACAGTATGCCAGTTGTTACATTTGTTGCATCTGTCATTTACAGACGTGCAGATGCAGTTCCCAGGAGCACTTCCCAGCTCTGTTCCTGTCATTTTGAGGAGGGCAGCTGCATCCCAACACTCTTCCAGTACAACGGGACATCGGGTACCAGATTGCTCGTTTCCGGTAAGCACTAGCCACTTAACTTCATTGTTTGAGTCCAACTCATATGCCAGGTTGCTTACCATACCAGTATATGCATAGTAATGATGCAAGTCTTGAGCCTACGGGCCCGGGCGGTGTTTCACGGGACGCTGCTACCACGCTGCTATCAAATTGCGCGAGCTGACGTCACACTTGTGGTAGTGTTGGAGCAATGGGCCTGTTCATGTCTCCATGGAAACCCAATTTGACACGTGTAAAAGCATCGTGCTGCTATCACCGGTGAAACAGGGCCCCGGTGTCGGGCTTAAAATCGGACCCGCCGGACTTTTGCCGGGCCTAAGCTCGAGGAGGCCGGGCATATGCCGGGCTCGGCAAGGGCTTGCCTGTGTTAAAGGGACAATGCCACCTTCCAAAAAGTTAATAAATTGGCATAAAAGTGATGTACCTACCATAAATCAGAAAAAGCGAAATTTTTAGGTTTACATTTTGCACGAAGCCATCAAAGCGATGCAGCAGGCTAGTCATATGTATTACTTGTTGCACACTCATATCTTGGGCAAAATGTATTGATGACAAGTGGAAGAAGTGGAAAAACGGTTTTAGCCTTTATTTGTGTATTATGTGTATACCTGTCAGCGCAGTGTGGAAGTTGAAATTGTTGGTTTGGTAAATCTTCATAAAAAACATAATAGTTGTGGTTCAGTTCAAAGTTGATTCAAATTCACAAACTCAGTTTTTGTGATGTGGTTGCAGGTCGCCTGTGCTACACCAAGCTCAGAAAGGGAAAGCGGATCACACAGCCACCATCAGCGCGCTAGAACTCCAAGGAGGATCTGCGAGCGGCGCGCCAGGCGCCGTCGGAGCAGCCCCTGGTAGCGACAGCCGCCGCGCCGTCGGAGCAGTCCCTGGGAGCCACGGCCAGCCGCTGTCGGAGCAGCCTCTGGGAGCCGGCCGGCCGCCGTCGGAGAGGCCTCTGGGAGCTTACCTGTAACTGACTGCGGCTGACGTGTGTGTCCGTGTGCGCGCGTGTGTGTGTGCGTTTCCACTGGCAGTGATAGTGACAGGTGAACGGTGTTCATGACCGATGGCCGGCGGTCTTTGTTGTTATTCTGATAATACGTATGAGACATTGTTTTAATATGTTTTGTTCTGAAACGTTTCCAAAAACTGAATCACTTCATTATCATTCTACTTTCAAGCATGTTTACCAGATAAAAGGATTTGCAAATCAAAGGAAGTAAAATTGTGTGAAAATTTACTCAGTTGCGCAGCTAGCCAACACACATTTGCTACTGTCAGGCCGCTATGGGACATGTTCAAAGTAGCTCAACGTATTGAATGACTCACTGCTCCCCCCCCCCCCCGCCAACGTTGGCGCGCATTGGGCGCAGGCACAAGAGTGGTATCAACGACCGCCGTCTTGAGCTGCACCAGGGTCTGCTGGCTCTTCGTCATGTATGGTGCATTGTTCAGATATCCCCGCTGCACGCTGTACGCTGTACGCCGCTGTTTCGTTATAATATTGTCTGCTCGATTTGTTTGAAATATGGAAATATGTATAGACACTGGATGTGCAAAGCGTCCGTGTAGGACATCTACTTGTTTCAAACTGTCCCGGAGCATCCATGTTTCGGAAGTGCACGGCGTCGATGATGGCGAAAACGAGAGGTGCAATAATGTTGTAGCGGAACACCGGGACTGTACACAACTCACTGCAGTTGTAGACGTTTACACCGAATTATCTTGCTCAGCTCAGGTTGGCTTTGAAAACGGCAGGGTCATCGGGCGGGCTTAAGCCTTAAAGGCGGTTAATACAGAGGACGGGATGGAGTGAAGGTTCCCGTTCAGGCGGTAAAGGGGGGGGGGGGCGTCAAAATACCGGACTGTGACCCCTCAACGTGCGGCCGCCTCCCCCCTCCCCCAACTTTCATGACAACCATGTTAAGGACGGGCGTACAACTGTAAGCACATGTTGCATTTCGGATGTTGTGCCTGTAACAAATGCAAAGTTTTGCATTTTTTGACAATCAAAGCTCATTTCCTCCCAGCGAAGTAGATATTGAAACAATTTTTGAAGAGTTGATCTACCATTTGCCTATTCCGGCGACCGCCATAAAAGCCTGAAAAGCGTGTGAAATTCAATGGGCCTGAGCTGGGCTGGGTTCGGCGCCCATGGGCCCCGCTTGGGCTGGGCTGTGCTCTGTGGGTTGGCTGGCCCGTGACGAACACTGCACCCTCGAGCCCGGCATAAACTAAACATGGCCGGTTCATAGTATAAAAGTCCGGCTGAGCCTTCTTTCAGCTTAGCAGCAGCATTCTAGTATTTGCAGATACCGTGCATGTTTCATACAAGACACAATTATACCTATAGATTCGCCCATGACAACCCCGATTCGTTGTTTGCCCGCATCAATAGAACGGAACACCTATCAACTACTAGCTCCAGCATAAACGTATCAACATGGATGCTCGCATAGTCCTATTTACCTTCGTATCCATATTTGATCTAACTGCTCTTTCTGGCACAGTTCAACACAAAACCTTAGTTTGTAGTCTGGAATAGATCAGAACAATACCTATGGGTGTTGTTGGTAGGTAGTTAAAAAGTAATACCTAACGGTAACGGGTGACCTAATACACCGATCACTTCCACTCATCGGTTGTAGTGACTGAAAATGGCTTTAGTGTAATTCAAAACTGCATTTATACTCCGGTTTCCAACACTTGCTCGTTGTATTTATAATTAGTGGTGGCTTCTCTTCCGTCATAAGCGCGAATCGAACCTAAAATGGGCCTGTACTTATTCAATTTTGCCGATAAAAATATATTTTTGGTACCGTTAGAAAGCTTACACACGACTGCATGTGGTGCTAGTTGTATCTTTGAAAAATTCGTCCTAGTTTAGTCAGGAGAGCTAATCAAAAAGTAGGTCCCATTGTATCCCTATGGGGGCCGAGAGCGAGTCGGCACCACAGTTACCGGGAGGTGCCCCCGCCACAACCGCACGTGCGGATCCCTCGAAAAACAGCGAGTCCGCCGGTCACGTGACCAGGCTCATTTGCCGACACTGTATTTATATACACTGTGGCTCATGTAACCGAAACGTCCGAGGCACACGATTCGGGCCGTATTTCACAAGAACTATTCTTTGCTGACTGGAAGCGTCAAAATGCAAAATACTAAGCATTTTTTTTATTGGCTGCCTCGTAGAAAATAGCAAAAAAAAGTTGGTATTTTGGTTTAGTCTTTGCATGTGAAATAAAATGAATGAAATATTTTGATAGATATTTTTTTCTGACCACCCTGCTGTCGCTGCATGGCGAATCAGTGCCCACTGACTTAAAACAAGAAAACTTTGTTTTCATTTTTTGATTTCATGTTAATTTTAAATGTTTTTGAGCCTATCAAATGATATAAGTATTTAAAATTTAGCTCAGTCGTCCCGGTAAATGCCGCAACTGCGCCATGACTGTACGCTAATCCTATTCCGTTTGTGATGCGAATTACCGGTCGTCGAGGGGTCAGCCCGGGTGAGCCAAACAAGATCCGTTTGACGTAGATAAAACGAATTAGTCTCATGTAACCGGTGCCGTAGATCCGTTTGTGGGGAGCTGATGCGCATTAGCGTAGTGCGTATTTGGAACGGATCGCTCATGTAACCCCGGTAAATGTGGGCGTTGATGAATGTGGGCAAGATGTGCCACATCCTTGGCCACATCTAACTTCCGTTACATAAGTGTGAGTCTGTTTCGTATTTATTGTGTTTTTTTTTTTTATATTCCGAGGTGTTGTTCTAGATGATGTCTTTCAGCATTCAGTAGCTATTGAAAGCTAACAAGCTACATTGCAAATGCTAGGTCACGTCGCATGCTTTCAACTGGTTAGGTCGGGTCAAGGTAGGTATGTTCTTACCTTTTGCTATTTGTCAGGCAGGCAACCGGATAGTTGTGCAGAAAAGTTCCGATCTACAACTGTGGTGCCGTTGATTACCTGAAGGTTTTCCAACCGAGGAGAGGCGCTGTAGGTTTGTAGGTTGTAGGGTAGGTTTGTAGGTTGTAGGTTGCAGGTTTGTAGGTTGTAGGTTGTGGGTTAGGTTAGGTCAGGTTAGGTTAGGTTTGTTTAGGTTTTCCTAGAAAGAAGCACGTCCGGGTATGGCGCCTTTCCTTGGTTGGAAAACCTTTGTGTGACGTCTGCTCTACTAATACCCAAATATGTAGCATTAGGTTGGTGTGTGAGGGTAGAGTGCTGCAGCATGCTGCGCTCGTCGGCACATTGGGTTTCAATGGAAACAAAACAAACTTAAGACGCATCGCAATGCTTTATCATTGAGCTGAGTTCAGTTACCTTACCTTACCTCACCTTACTGTTGGCGGGACTTTGGGAGGCCAGAGGCCTTTTGGACCCGTTCTCATCGAGCTCCTTGAATCTCGGTTATTGCTCTAGCTTAAGTAGGTATGTCATAAATATGATCAGACCAGTGACTATCAAGCCAGTTCTTGAACTCGTTAGCAGAGGTCGCCGTCACGACGTGGGGAGGCAGGGAGTTCCAGTCGTTTAGCGCCCGGATGCTCCAGTGGTTTCTCCGAGCTCTTGTCAGCGCTGTCGGTTTCGCTAGCTTCATGGAGTGACCTCTGGTGCTTGTAGAAGGAGCCGGCTGGAAGAAGTCGTCCTTTGCCAGGTTGAGGTGGTCGTTCATCAGCATGTACACCATGATTACGTCACCTCTGCGTCGTCTGTAGAGCAGGGATGGAAGCTTGAGTTTGCTGAGGCGCTCCTGATACGGAAGATGACGGATCTCCGCGACAAGCCGGGTAGCTCGGCGCTGTACTCGCTCCACAAGAAGCTGGTCTTCCTTGTTAAAGGGTCCCCAGACAATGTTCCCATACTCCAGGTGGGGGCGCACCAGCGTCTTGAAGAGAAGGGGTAACGTCTGAGTGTCCAGCAGCTCGAAGGAACGCCTGATGATCCCCAGGATCTGAGCCCTGATCGGCGGCCGGCTAGTACTCTTGCCCGCGCTCACATACGTGCACGTTACCCCGGCAACGGGCTATTGACCAATGAGAAGCGAGAAGAGTGTTACGTCACTGCGATTTTTCATATACCTGTGCCCCCCGGACGTGACGTAGTGTGCTCGCGCGCGTGCAGGGTCTCTGCGATCGAAATAGAGCGCTAGCAGCGCGCCACTCGACGCCGCAATTGTCAAAAGCGGCGTGTTAGTATGCTTTATTATGAATGATGTGTGTAAAAGTGAGTTTTTATGTTGTTTATTTGGAGGAAATGGTTGGAATAAATTAAGTTATTTTTATTTCTGTTGGTTGGAGTTTTATTCAAAGGATTTCGGTCTATACCATTGATATTTACTGAAAATACCTTCGCTTGAATAAATTGCAGATATTTGGCAACTGAAGTGTTAGGTAAGCCTAAATGATATGTAAAAAGGTAAGAGACATCCTGATTATCATTTGAGAAACGAAAAACTATGAATTTTCCTTATAAAACTCGCTCAATATGCTACTCCGCGGTTTATGCCCCGAGCAAGCCCCGAGGGTGTCCGAGGGTTCCCGTTAGTTTGTCGTTGGCGCTCGGCTCGCGCGCGAGCCGACGTCACCGCCTGTGACGTCGGCTCGCGAAATACGTCATACCCTGCACACAAAATAGCCGGCTGCCGAACAGCGCTCTGGTTTGCCTTCTTGATGGCCGTGGCAGCCTGCTTCCGAAACTTCAGCTGCTCGTCGACGATGACTCCCAGATCCTTCTCCTCCCCAACTTGTGCGACAGGGGCTCCAAGCAGGGAGTACTCGTGTCTGGGATTGCCGGACCCCAGATGCAGGACCTTACATTTCCTCTGATTAAAAGGCAGCAGCCAAGTCGTGGACCAGTGTTCGAGTCTTTCCAGGTCCAATTGCATCTGGGTGCGGCCCTGGGTTCCTTCCAGCCAAGGACTCGCATACAGTTTTGCGTCGTCCGCGAAGAGCTTGATATGGCATTTGACACAATCGGGGAGGTCGTTGACGAAGACAACGAAGAGAGTCGGGCCCAGGACCGAACCTTGAGGGATGCCGCTCCTTACTGAAACAGGAGCAGACCTGGCACCGTTCACGACTACTTGCTGACTGCGTCCGGTGAGGAAGGCCTCGATCCACTTCAGCAGATTCCCTCAAACCCCAAGGCCGTGCAGCTTCCGAAGTAGGCGCTGGTGGGGGACGGAGTCGAACGCCTTTCGGAAATCGAGGTAGGCGACGTCAACTGGCTCCTTATTCTCAATCAGCAGTTGGGGAAACTACGAGGCAAACGTCAAAAAATGGATTGGTCAATAAATGGACTTTTGATGACCATATATGGGCATAAATGCTGCCTCCGCTACTAAGGGTGAAAAATGGTATAACAAGCCGGTACTTGCGGTATCGCGTCCACTTATTGGAGAGAAAAGGCTTCCATTTTTCACTAGGAATTGGTGTGATTTGATTAAATTTGGCGAATTGACTCGAAAATGGCGATAGGAAAACGGCTTTTCTGCAGGTTCTGGGCATCACAGTCAGCTGGCCATTCAATAAATGGATTGGTTTTATGAAAGAAAATTGTTAAAAGATTTAATTTAATTACAATAAACAAAAATAGTTAATTCTAAAAAAATAACTTAACTACAATTAGAAAACCATAAACAAAATAATAAAAATAATGACATTTTTAAACCATAGTACTGCTTACATTTTTTGGCGCGTCTGTTTCAGTCCGCCATATTTGCCAATCACGGTTTGACCTTGCGTTGTAACTCTGCGATTTAGAGCCGCCAGTTAATTATGCACCGGTTGAGTGTAGGCCTTGTGTGGTTAAAAAACATCCTTTTGCCTTATTTTTTCATTTGAATGCTAAAATTCATTGAAAAGATGAAGTTGTCTGATTTTATGACCATATATGGTCATCGCCCCGCCCACTCCAGACGCAGATTGGCTGATCCAATTTTTGTTTGGCTCCTCGTAGTTTCCCCAACTGAGTTCATCTACGAACGCCACACCAGCGCACGCCATCTGGACAGTGAAACAGGACCAAGGTTAGGTCAGGTTTGATTTTTTCTTGTATTTGCGCCACATGTAAGCATCATATCTGGATTCAGGATGCCAAATAGTGTAGGAATGCTCAAAATTGTATGGGCCTGTTCCAGCACCTCCAGAAACCTCCAGTAACTCCTGGATTCTCCAGAGAGCATCCCGGTACCTCCAAGAAGCTCCAGAAAGCTCTTGCCAAAGCTCGAGAAGCCTCCAGTAGGGGCCATACCTACTATTTTTTGGAATATTTGCCAGCTGGCGCCGTACGGTGGCGCTGGCAGAGCTTTTTATATATCAATGCTAGATATAAACAACTAAATATCTATTTATTAATTTTCTATGAGTTTTGTCTATGTGTTCGTATCCACCTACTACCATATTTATATCAATTAACTCCATAGCTATCATTCATCACCAGCTGGCCAGCCAGCTGATTTCAGCCAGTTGTTAGTAAGGGCCCTGTTTGGCGGCCGGCTAGTAGGGGAGAGTGGGGTAAGATGCCCAGGGTGGGAAAGACGCCCCACCCCCTCTAGCGGCGAAACAAAGAATCGAACCTGGAAATTAACCCGCGCCGTGCTGGTGGCCTGAACTTTCCGCCGAGTGCTGGGGGGGGGGGGGGGCGTTTTCACGCCCCCCCGTCTAACTCGGCTCCTGGGCCACGTAGCGACACGCGGTAAGCGGCAATCGAAAGAGCGTCAAAAATAAGGACGAAAACACATCGGTCATTTTTTGGGTCAGGTCAAAGGTCAGGTCACCAGAGGTCACCAAAGGTAAAATGTTGACTATTTCAACATTTTGGAAACTGCCAACGGCTATCTCGGGAACCGATAGAGCTACAGCGCCGCGGAAAAGCGCATTCGATAGCCCTTTTACAGACCTTTCTGAGTAATGTTCTCAGATTTGACCTCAGGTCAACGGTTTAGCCTCCAGAGGGCAAAAACTCCAAAAATAGCCGTTTTTACGAAAAACGTTTTTTCGTCAATAACTTTTGACTCATAAGCGCCATGACATTACTTTTGCCAGCATCGTGTTCCTCTCGTCGAGACGCGTCGAATGAACTATTTGTTGACCTTGAAAGGTCATTTTGAAAATTTGACCTCAGGTCAAGGTGACCTGACCGAAAAGGGTCATGTTGCATATCAGTCGATCCGTATCGTCGAGCTGAACACATCTGACGTGTTTTCACCGCTCTAGCACGTCTCTATCAAAAGTTATAGCCAAAAAACTGCTGGCGACCGTTCATGACCTGAGATGACCTCAGGGGCACACAGAGGGGTCACAGGTGCATTTTTCCTATTCAGTGTGTCATGTTTACCTATGAACCGATGTTTGAGAGCGTTTTGAACGATATTCGTCCAAAAGAGGCGCATTTCAATTTTCTCCCATTGACTTATAATGGAGAGGTCGCAAAATTGACCTGACCTTAGGTCACAGATATCAAAAATCCGAGATATACATTTTATACATACTGTTACTCATATCAATCGCTGAAAGTTTCAAAGTGATCGTTCAGTCGGTGTAGCTATAGCGAGCCTTTGAACTTTTTCTGAGGTAAGGTCACTTGACGTGACCTGGTGACCTGACCTTGAACGGCCTAGGTCTGAAATTTTCACAACATGTGCGGAAATGATGTAGGAACACGTGTACCAAAAACGGCGGCGCTGCGCGCCGCCGTTTTTTAGATATTCGCGAAAAACCTGAGGGGGGGGGGGCGTAAAAACGCCCCCCCCCCAGCACGGCGCGGGTTAATGTTCTTAGCGTAAAGCGGAAGCCTGCCTTGTTAACTGCACAACAATTTGCGAGGCTCAGTTGGGCAACGGCTGGCTGGTGATTGCATGTTTTTTATTTGC